TAGAAATGAACAGAGTATCACATGCATGTAATCCCAGCACTTGGAAGGCTGAAGCAGGAAAGTCTCGTATCTGAGGTCATCATGGGCTACATTACATTAGGAGACTATATCTCAAGGCAAAAGCACAAACATAAAAAACAAGATGATTGGAAAGTTGGACACTAGAAAGAAAGAAGGACAGATTAAATAGGTGAAGTTTTATTTTTCACAAGGTCTTGCCATGTAGTTTTAGGCTAGCCGGGAACTGCTAACTGAACCAGATTCCAAACTCAGGACGTTGTCTTGTGTTTTATACCTCTACATACTGCTCACAGCACTCAGGTTCTAAATGCTTTATCTACGCTTGTCTGCCAGGTATGTATTTCTTTAAGGCTGGCCTTAAACTTGAGGTAATCCTCCTGTCTCCACCTTTGGAGTGACAAAATTACAGGTATGTGTCCTCCTGTCGGGTAACCTATCTTATAGTTCAGGTAATTAATGAACATTTTAAAGCACGTTAGAATGAGTACTTTGGCAAACAGGGGAAATAAGTATTACTGAGTTGGAAGATGAGTACACATGGAGACTGAGGAAGACTCAGGCAAAAGCTGTACAACAGCAAGTAAGGGGCCAGGTAAAAAGAAAAGGGTGAGGGCTATAGGGGTGTAGTTCAGTGGTAGAAATGCTTAACTAGCAAGTACTGAGACTATAAGTTCAGTACCCAGCATTTAAGAAATAAAAAAAGAGAAAGAGGGGGGCAAGATAGATGAAGGCTTCAGAAAGGAAAAAGGCCTGGCTGGGCATGATGGTGTATACTTGTAGTCTCAGAACTCAAGAGGCAGAGACAAGAGGACTACAGAAAGTTTGAGGCCAGCAAGGGATATATGGTCAGACCCTGACTCAAATAAACAAAAGAAAAATCTTTTACTGAATGTGAAAGATCTCTCAGCCAGGGAGCTTGTTCCTCTCTCACAAATGTACTGTATATAAATTAATGCACTATATATAAGTGAACAGAGACTTCCTGTTTATAAGATGGGCCAGTCCAGTAGTGTGAGAAGGCCAATAGCTGACACTATCTGCTGGGATCAGTGAGAAGTAGGACTCTCCAGGGAATGGAGGCAGCAATGAGAGGCTGGAACCTGGACCTGCAACAGAATTTAGGTCAAGACAGTCATAGGACTTCTGTTCTGAGGACCTGCCCCTGTAGAACAGGAAATTCTGTTGCCTACTCTACTCACCCCTCAGTCTCTCAGAGATTCTGAAACTTAAAGATGGACAATAGAATACCTGGGAGGAAGACAATACAGTTACATCACTTGTGGGTTCCTGAAAGGACACACTTTGGCAGAGATTCAAAAGTGTAAAAGATCACCTGCACATTTACTAGGAAGCATTAGCCCCACATTTGAACTTACTTGGACTGGTTTCTCCTTTACAAAGCACACTTATCACCATCTATCTGTATGTGGTTAAAGTGAAATTACTATTTCATTGAGATAATACTTTGGCAACTCACCACAAAGAACTACAAAAATGTAATCTACTTGCATTTCAAGCTAATTTTATCTCACTTGAAAGTATATTTTTAATATTACACTTGTTACTTTAGTATTTGGTATCTCAAATAATGATGTGTATGTTTTCCTATTGAAATTGGTTCTCTCGCTGATAAAGCTGTAAGAGAAAATTATCAGAACTCTCTTCTGTCTCACATCTATCTATCTATCTATCTATCTATCTATCTATCTATCTATCTATCTAAATTTATGGTGTTCTCGCTAACTTTGCCATGGTAAAACGATTGTATCTCATAACTCTATAAGGTCACTTATGTGACTCCTCAGCCTAAAGAGTGTACACATACATACATGGGAGGATTTGGCCAATTTGGCTGTCAAGGGTGATGTGTGGGCAGTAAACATGGTCAGAAATAGGAAGAGATAAATGAGATTTAGGGTTTCTTTTCTAATGCTTACACAAGATTTTTGCTAGACCCAGAATAGGATAGTTTGAAAGAAAGAAAGAAAGGAAGGAAGGAAGGAAGGAAGGAAGGAAGGAAGGAAGGAAGGAAGTCCACACACATGGTAGTGCTCACATGTAATCCAGCACTGGAGAGACCGAGGCAGGAGGTTCAAGTTTGAGACAGTCTTGGCTAAGTAGCTAGGATTAGGAATACAGTTCAGCAGGCAGAACACTTGCTTGACACACACAAAGCGCTAGATTCAATCCCAACACTGCATAAAATCAGTGTGATGGGCACAAGACTGCATCCCCATCACTCAGCAGGTAGAGGCATGCAGATTAGAGTACAAGATCATCAACAAAACAAAATACAAGGCTGAATCTAGGCATGGAGGGTCACAACTTTAACCCTAGCACTAGGGAGAAAGACATGGGTGGATCTCTGGGGTATCAAGGCCAGCCTGGTCTACAGATTGAGTTCTAGGACAGCCTAGAAACCCTCTCTAAAAAGCCAGAGGTGACAGCACATTCTTGAAATTCAGCCCTGGGGAGGCAGGGAGATGTGGCACCCTGGGGCTTATTGGCCAGTGTAAATTGACCTCTGGTCTTCACACATATCACAGAAGCTATTTTCTTTTGACATTAAAACAAGGTGGCAGAATAATTGTCCATTGGGAACTGAGACAACTATTTGGAAAGTAACTGAATTATAAAGGGACTTTGTATATCTAACCACCTTCAATCGAATATTTCAAAGTCACTTTATAGACATTAATTAATTAAGCCTCTTAAGTCTTAAGAAAGGATTAGGCCTCTGTCAGATAAGAAAAACAAAGCAGGTAAGACTATTTACAACAGGAAGAGAAACTGGAGTCTAGCCTCCCAGGCTCTTTCACTGTTGTTCCTAGAACATGCCCAAGCAGTGACAGTCCCCAAAGATCAGACTGTGATGATAAGCCAATACTTGAGTTGAAGAAATATTGGGCTTTGGAAGTAAAACTACTATTACAACACTGGATTGTTTTATTGCCTACCAGTTTGCTGTAACAACCCTGAACAAATTATTTAATTTCTCTAAATATCAGTTTTCCCATTTGTAAAACTGTATCAAATCAACCTCAAAGAAGATCAAAATATGCATGCCTGGCACTGGTGACCAGATGCCAGTTTGCTTTCCTTCCCTAGACTTTACATTCTTTTTTTTTCTTTAAGACTTTACATTCTTTAAACACATAGACACACACACACACACACACACACACACAAAGTGTGCATTTGATTGTTATATTCTGACTAATTAAAACTAAATCTGAAAGACTCTCCAAAAATAGAAAATACGCTAAAAAAAAGAACCACACACATGCATGCACAAACACCCTCTGGATGAACCTACCCCATTCTTACTAAATGAAGAACCCATTCTTACTAAATGAAGAAAAACCCAGTCTAATTCTTTAAAAACTTTAAGAACACTAGTAGTTTGCTTAGATCTGTCACCAAGCTTTCATATTAATTTCTGTTCGTTTATATCTATGTGAGCAACTTTTAAAAGTTGACTTTAAAAAAGCAAACAAATTGGAGAGCTTTCTCAGAAGGATGATAAGGGAAGAAAGTCACATTTCATTGTTCAAACTCCAACTCTCATCTCTACAAAAGGAGTTACTACACTATTCTGCAATTAATCAGGCAGTGCTTCCCTATATTAAGATCCCTTTGGTTCAGAAAACAGACCAACAGTATCAACAAAACCTGAATGTTCTGTAAATTAACCTCCCCAGGCCAGTAAGGCCACCAGACACAAGCACACCCTTTCAAGAGTCTGTAAGGCCCTTCCTGGTACTGAACAGAAAGTGAAAGCCTCTGGGTACCTTTGACCACATTTCCAAGTAACTCTGAGCAATTTAGAAACTCCATCTCAGTGAGGTTAAATACACCCACTTCTTAACAAGTCTGGCACTCTCTGACACCCTAAACAGCTCCTTTTGAAGGGAGACAAATGGCAGCATCAAGGAAATCTCAACTCAGCCTTGATACACAGGCTACAATTAAAAGCTTTTAACTCCTTTGAAGCAAGGGTTCCCACACTTTTTACTAGCATTACGTTTACACTAGGCTGCGAGGAGAATCTTCTGCCCCCAAAACATGACACACAAGAATCTGTCCCAAAGTTACCGAGCAGGTAATGGCAGTCTGACTCCCCAGCATACGGAAGAGCCCCTTCTTAGCTGCATTTGGCCATTCATAGATTGGAATGATAGGGACCAGCAGGTTTTTTTAAAGAAAGGGGGTAGAGAATCTTCACTGAAAGCTTCAGATAGGGAGATGGGGTACTCTCGCTTCAGACAGAGCCTGTCAACTCACTGTCCTTTGAAAGTAAGCCCACTTGGGGCATTAAAAAGGCTGTCATGCAGATCTCAAGATCGAGGGCGTAGGCAAACACATTTTCTCCCACCGAATCAACTTCTGGGTAGTCACCGTCTCGGTGTGCCTTCCACTCACCCTGCCCTAGGCAGCGCGTTAAGAATCACAAGGTGCCTGCCAGCAGCTTGGCACAGCACGCAGTGCCCAGGGTGCCGCTAGAGCTCTGGGAGTGAGCTGCCTTCTCTCATCATCTACAGCTCAACTTTCAGCAGCGGCTGTCAGGAAGAACACGCCTTCTCCTGCAATGCTGCGAAGTGCGCCCCTAGCCAGATGGACACACCCCTCGGAAGCGCTGCCCCTTTAACAGGGCATTTTCATTTTCGCCTTTAACAAATACCCCGCCACTATCATTACTAGACACCCCCAGCCCCACCCCTAAAAAATAAAGCCCTGGCCAAAAAAAACCCAAAAGCCCCTGCTCACCCTGGTCTCCTGACTTAATGGACAGTTCTCTTCTCTTTACCGCTCAGCCACCACCTCAAACTCCTAAGCAGCCATTGGGTGCCGAGTGCCACCCGTCCGGTCGTGGGGCTGGTCCGAGGCTCGGTTACTCACGACCATCCCTCCTCTCCCTCAAGCGGGGTGACACCCGCTGCACCCGGGACGGCCCCCCGCGGCCACGCCCCCGCGCTCACCCGCAGTCAGGGGCGGGACACCAGCGGCAGTCGGGGTCCGAGGCCAGGTACCGGCGCAGCATGAACTCTTCGTACTTGTGCATGAGCGGCGGGTCGGCCAGCAGCAGGCGGATGTCGTGCGGGTTGAGCCGCTCGCTGCACTCGGGGCAGCTGATGGGCACGCGGCTCTCGCTGATCTCCAGGCGCAGGTAGTGGCGGAGGCAGTCCCGGCACGAGCGGTGCGGGCAGCTGAGGAGGCGCGGGGCCCGCTCGGGCGGC